ATCCATTGTTAACTACGTGCTTTGTTTCCCTATGCATTCTCCCTGAGCAGCTTGTCTTCTCTCAAAGGCCATGAGTTTTGTGACTCCTAAATTTCTATACGCAGCCCAGAATTCAGTCCTCCAGACCCTATGGCCTATCATACATCTCCACTGGAAATCCACAGGCACCCCACATTCGCATGCCCGAGGATGAGCCATCTGCTTCCCCATTCCATGTACCTCCATCCTCCCCCTACTCCCACCCCCTCCAACAGATCTTTTTTTTTTTCACTGCTGATCTCCGAGCCTGTGAAGTCATTTGCTAATTTATTTAGAACATGATTTTTTTAAAAATAAGTACATTCTAAGATGTTGTTGGGGGTGGGGGGGCTGCCCACAGCTGGCTCCATTGCTGACCTGGTTGCAGTTGATGGCGGGGGCGGGCTGAGGCCCTGGGTCCATCTAATAGATCTTTATACAGGTTAATGATACTACCATTCTAGTTCAAGCTAGAAACACAAAGGCCATCTTTCTTCTTTGACTATACTCTCTTCTACACCACCTATATCCAATTGGTCACTAAGACTGGAGATTCTCCCTCTTCAGTAGCTTTATGATCTGTCATTTCTTCAAGTTCACTGTCACTGCCTTAGTGCCAGACCCTCACTATCTCTTACGCTGACTGATACGGTAGCCTCCAATCTTGTCTCTTTCAAATTTATTCTCCTTGTTATTAGTAGTGTCTTCCTGAAACTCAGATTTGAGCTTGCCTCTCCCTGGCTAAGGTTCTTGGGCTTCCATTGCTACACGGCACTGTCTGGGCTCTTCTAGTGTGGCATAGAGAGAGGCATTTTGTGCTCTGGCCCCTCCTGTCTCTTCACCTTCATCTGCTACTCTTTTCCACACTCATCATCTCTTCTCCAGCTCTTTGTATTACTTGTACCGTGTTCTTGCACATTTCCATGTCTTTGTCATGCTAGTCCTTCTACCTGAAGGTCCCTCCCTTCCTTTTCCCCACTCCCTCTCATCTGGCGAAATCTTCCATGGTTTAGTTAAAACTGCAGCCTTCTTGACCTAACCCCACAGCGTGAGTGACTCCCTCCTCTGTGTTCACTGAGCACCTTGGGCAAGCCTCTACCATGGAACCTGTCACATTGTATCACAGTGATTTACTTGGCTGTCTCTCCTATACTGTGAATTATTTGGATCTAGTCATAATTTAATCCTCTTTCTATTCCCAGTGTTAGCATAGTAGCTGGCATGTAGAAAGTCTCTATAAATCACTTGGTTAGAGCATGGTGTTGATAACACCAAGGCCAAGGGTCCCAATCCCCATACTGGCCAGCTGCCAATAAAAAAAGGAAAGTCTATCAATGTCCCCTGAGTGAATGGGAGGGAAACCAAGGAAAGGTCTGGATAGCTTACATTTAAAAGGACATCATGCTGTTTTTTCAAAGCAACAAGAGATCTTTTCTTTGCCTGACCTAGGGGAAGCCCCTGCATTTGTCTTCAATTCATTGTTCTGTGCACAGCCTCTTTTTATATGGCGAAGTCTGGCTGAGAACTTTTGGCAAGGCATCTGATCCTACAGAAGGAGGTGTGCCAACTGATATTAAATCTGGGTAGCTTTATTGTCATATCTCCTTTAGGAATAAATAGAGGGCTTTTCTGGCACCCTCGAAGTTATTGGTAAACATCTTCTCACACCTCGTCTGCTTGACAGGGAGAGGAATCTTCTTTCTGTGGAGCCTGTGGAATTTACCAGGGCCTGTCTCTTTCCCTTGGGTGGCACCAGCTTCTCAGCACCAGTCTTTTTGGCTAGGCCTGGACAGATACCACTGGGCAGTGGAGACACTGCACAGCCATCCTCAGTGTTAACAATGGTGCTGGGCTAAGTTCACTCTTCATTGGCTTCTCGAGGCCGGTTTCTAGTGCCAGGGCTAACATCCTACTACTGACAGGGATCCTGTCAACTCTGTTTATGAGGTAGCTGGAACTTGGAGTAGGAAGATGACAGTTTGCTCTTTTACTTTATGAATTTTGGTCCCACTTAGGTCCAAAATGATATATATGAAATGCCTCCAGGTGCCTCATGGAAAGGGGACTTTATTTTTTCAATAAGCAATGTGCTTGTGCTGTGTGATTAACCAGTGACATTTGTTGAGTACCTGAAGCCATATGCAACTGGGTTTAAACCATAGATACCAGACTTATGGCTGTGTGATTTGAGCCAGCCCCAGAGGGGCTTAGAGCACTAGGAAGGATTTCTAATCACTGGATGGAAGTGGGTGATAAACCAGGGATCAAAGAAACTGAGGTTCAAGAGAGATAGCCTCGCTTCAGGGAACTGGTTGAAGAAGCAGCAGCCTAGTTTCTGGGAGCTTGATGTCCAAGGTCAGAATGGGACCAGCAGCAAGAATGCTGGACTGCTAAGATGCCGAGCCATTGACCTAGAGCTCCCTGCTTGCCCCCTCTGAGCAAAGGGTTGATTCAAGCGGTGCTGAACCTAAAGGTTTAGGGGTTACATGGGACCTGTTATGAGCACTAGAGAGGTATGGGGGCAAGGAGCCAAGCAAGTTGCAGTATGCTGGCTTCTGTTGTGGTACTCTAGATTTTGTATCCTACTCCATCTCTTCAGTCCAAGGCTGTACTACTACTTCCTTTATCTCTTTCATGGTTTCCAGGTGGGCAAGATCTGTTCCTTCTTGGCCTGTGTTTATGCCCCAGTTTCAGGTCACAGCCACTGTCCTGGCAGTTCCCTGCCTCACCACTGTGGCCAGGCTTCTCTGCACTGTGGCCAGCCTCTGCTGTCATTACTGACTTTCATTACCTTACTGGGGAGCTCAGAGCCAGGCAGTAGATCCTGCCCATTCCCTTCTCCTTCAGCATTCACCCTCAGCTTCTTCCTCCTGCCTTCTGTCCTTTCACATGTCCCTGACAGGCTTGTCTCCCTCGCCTCTCTACTCTTTATCAGTTTATTAATAATGAATGACTGATGATAATACTTAACATTTATTGAGCTCTTACTATGTGTCAGGTACATTATCTCATTTTTAATCTCACAAAAACCCTGTGAGCAGGTTCTGCTATAGTCCGCCTTTTACAGATGAGGAAACTCAGAGTGATTAAGAAACTTACCTAAAATCCAAAAGCTAAAAAACGGGTGGTATCTGGTTTAGAAGCTGGATTAGAACGCAGGTTTGTCTTATCTCAGAGCTGATACCTTTAGCCACATTTCAGTCTCTCTCTATCTCAAGAGAAATCTGAATTTTTCTCCCCTTTACTGGCTTATGTAGCAACCCAAGCATTAGTCCACTGACTACAGGCTCCTTTGATTTAATGTTTATTGACTGACTGCTAAGAATCCTGTGTACCAGTTTCCCTTGCTTCACACAAGACCATTTTTGAAATATATGTATTTTTTGAAAATCATCATCTGTCTTGGGAAGCCCTTCAGTTTCTCTCTTTTACATTTTAAAAAGTTATTTCAGATTAAAATGACGTTAATCCAGCCTCTTGATTAACCTCTTCACTTTTTAGATGAGTAAAGGTTTAGGGAGGAGAATTGACTTACATAGGGTCATATACAGCAAGTTCATAACAAAGTCAGGGCAAGAACCCAAGTCTCCTGATGCCTGGTCTAGTATTATTCTGATGTGCTTAACACATGAAATTTTATTGGCTTCAGGGGAGTGATTTTTCATTTATATTACATAAGCTAATTTATTATTTCATAGAAATGGGAAAGGTGGGTTTTTAGCCACAAGGCAAAATATGAGTTGGAATAACTTACAGCTGTTATCTTCACCATATCAGAGTGAATTCTTGGATCCCAAAAAAGTGTTTCTACACTGCAGAAAAGTCCCCCCCTCGGCCTTAGAGTTCATGAGTTTTCAGCATGAAATGCCTCATAGATCACCTCACTCTTTTGCCAAAAATAAAGCACAGCATCTCTCCTGACTCTGACCTTCTATAGTAGTGTAATCCTCCTTTCCACATTCATCCCTTAGTATTGCAGTCTGAGGGACACCCACGTTTTCCCTTTGACTTTGTCAATTCTTTGTGTTATAAGAACAGGATGTTTAAAGTTGAAGTCATTGACTTGAAAAATGAGAAACTATTTTGGAGAGCATTTTGTTCTCAGAATAGCGTTAACACTGAGGTAGCTGCTAATTTTTATGTAGTTCTTACCAAGAAATTAAAGTATTATTTACCAGCATCAGGGTATGACACAGAATTTCAAAATCCCAAGAGAGCTTTTTATCATACATCCACACATAGTCCTTTGGGAAATGGGAAGGATTTGGTGCTCCCATTTTTTTTTTGGTGATTATTTTATTGAAAATGTATTGATTATTAAAAATGATTTTAAGATTTTTTATTTATTATTTATTTATTATTGAATCATAATTGATTATAGATATTTTTGGGATTCAATGTTGACATATGTTGATCAAATCAATATTATTAGTATGTATATTGTTACAAATTGTACTTATTCTTTACGCTCCTTGTCCAATCTCTCCCTCTCCCCCTCTCCCTCCCCCCTCCCACTTCTGATGACCCTAGATTTCTTCTCTCCCTCTGAAGGAGTAATGGTTACTCTGTTGATTTGTTGCCTAGATGATCTGTCCAGGTGCTGCCATTTTTATGTACAGATAAGTAGAGGCCAAGAAAGACCAAGGCAACTCCCTGTGTTTTATGTTCATAAAGCATGAAATGTTAACATGTAGGATGTCTAGGTGAAGGTTATGTGAGAACTTTGTATACTAATTTTGCAACATTTCCATGTAAGTCTGAAATTATGTCAAATTAAGAAGTAAAATATTAATTAAGCAGAGAGTTGCGGTGATTAATAAAATAAATAAGCAGTAAAATCATCTTTCTAGTATGTACTTGGTTGATTTTTGGTCTCTGAGGGTACAGCAGTCTCTGCTTGCAAATCCACAAGTCACTTCAGTGAGGAGACTGGGCTGAGAATGCTGCTAATGGTGGGGGGTCCCTCTCCTGTGTCTCCCCAGGCGCAGTGAACCGGCAGGTCGACCTCACTCGTGGCACACAACCAAATTTGGGGAGAGCCAAACCGATGCCAGCATGATGCAGATATCTCAGGGCACGATTGGCCCTCCTTGGCACCAAAGCTACCATTCCAGGTAAGTGGCCACAGCTGAGACCAAGGGGTTTCTTTCTTTCAAATGTCATATTCCCAGAAAAGAATATTTTCTCTGTTTTGAAAACATTTTCTCACACTCATCCCAAGTATTAAATCTCTCCACTACTTTCCTCATTCTCTTAAAATGCCTAACATGTGTACGAGTCATCTTCATATTGTGAGCTAGATTGGCACGAAGGGAGGCCAGAACTATTTTGAGCACTGGCTGATCATTCGAGGTATTTATGGCGTCCACCAGTGCTCAGTCAGACATTTCTCAATTACACATTATAACACTATAGTAGAAAAAATTGACAGTCTTCTTCCCTCAATGCTTAAGTGTCCTTTCTCTTTGAGGTAAAATTGTGTCTGTGTTTTATATGAATAATTTTATTCAGGTATTTGAACTCCCAAATTGGTTTTTCTCTCTCTGTTAAGGCAATTTACCCAGCTTAGCTCCAACAATAGCAAGAACTAATATATTTAGGACTGCTCAGTGCATATGTTATCTCATGTAATCTTTCATATACTTCTTTAAAACAGATATGGTATTACTAACCCCATTTTATAGAACAGGAAATTGAAGCTTGGAAATATTAATTTGCTCAAAACCAAGTAACTAGTCAGTACCTGAGTCAAGACAAACCTAAGCCAGGTTTCAGAGCTGTTGCATGTAACCACTAGCTTATACTTCCTTAGTTTTAGTCACTGTCATATCAGTCAAGGTTTTGTCAAGAAAAAGCAGAGCCACCATGAGTGTTACAGGAGAAGGGATTTATTGTAGCAGTCAGAGCTTATGCAGTGAGAAGAACTGGGGAGAAGGAAGCCAAACCTGGCCACCTAGACATATTAAAAAGAGAATTAAGTCAAGACTCCCTTACTACAATACAGATTTGGGACCCACACAAACTGGAATCTATCTTCTGATCCCCGGGAGTCAGACTCCATATCTTATTACTTTTGGGAAAAGGGAATGGTCAAGGGAATAAGGGTCACTTCAAGCCCTTACATACAAATGAAATGCAAGTAAGTGCTGGTGTGTGTGTGTGTGTTATGGGGTGAGGGGAGAGGCAGGCAGCTTCTGGAAGGATTACTTAACTAACAGATGGGGCTATGCATTTGGCAAGGCTTGGATAATGCTCGTGTCTGGGCAAGTCAAGGTCCAAATCCTAGACTTCTCACTGGGGGACAGTGGCTTGGGGGACAGTGGCTTATGGAACTGAACAGGACAGACTTCTAGCATATTAGGGTAGGCTTCAGCCCACAGGAAGAGAGAATTTCCTGGTTATCCTCCTTGTTACAGATACTCACTCCTCTTCCTTGCTCATGTCCCTCCCAGTCACCCTAAAATAATTTATTCTCACCCTCCGAGCCATCTGTTCTCTGAGAGGAGTTTCCATAGTAGTATGTCTCCCTGCCATCTCCGCCCTCCCCCGACCCTGCACACACACAAAGGCACACTTCCTTTTCCTTATAAGCATGGAGCTGTTGCAGGCCTTTAGAAGGTAAGATATGGGGAGTCTAACAGTTTGAAGGAAGAACAGCACAGTGGTAAGGTACTTGGATTTTTGTCAGACCCAGGTTTAAATCTCAACTTCACCACCTACAGTGTTAGCTTGAGCAAATCATTTCACTTCTTTGATCCTGGCTTCCTTTTCTGTAAGACAAAATTAATAGTAATGTCATTGGATCATTGTGAGGATTAAATAAAACAACATCTGTGCAATTCCTGGTTCATAATAAGCATTCAACAACAGGCAACTAATTATAATAACCAGGCTGAAGAATTAGAAGTACAGTGAAACCTGGTAAAGAACTTGAAGGTTAATCGCATAAACCAACACACGCTTATAAATGCAGGTTTGTATTAACAGAGTGCCTTGAACAGTAGGGTCCTTTGGAGCCTCCTAACCCTTAACCTTATGAAGCCCTAAATCTGAAGTCATACTGTAACCTAAAAAATGTGCTGGCCTTAAGGCAGAAATAAGACTACTGCAGTCAGTGCTTAGAATAACTGCTTACAGTGCCTATGGTGAGCTCCAACAGGCCTCAGGGGAATGGCGGAGTTGGCATCAGATATTCTGAAGGCTGTGCTTCTCTGCCTCCTCCTTCCTCCTACCCATCCCAGCCCCTGGGGGGGGGGGGTTAGGCAGGTGGATCTGCCCTTGTGCTGTACCTACTACCCTGCCCCTCTGATTCAGGCTTCCAAATAGCTCCTCTTGACACAATGACTGTCAGCACAAAAGCACTGTATGGGGACAGAAGAAGAAAGGAAAGCTCAGATCACCCAAAACGCTACACTGTCTGTATTTTCTTCTGCCCCAGCACAGAGCATCCTGTGATCTGTTCATTCCATGCCTCAGGCTTGCAGCTCTGACAGGGCTTGTCCCAACTCTTAGTTCCACTTGTGGGTTCTGGCGTTGGCAGCTGCAGACGGAGAAGCGCTCCAGGTGTGTTCCTGAGGAGCACAGTGGCATCTAGTGGTCTAGTGCGTGTTCATTCCATGCCTCAGGCTTGCAGCTCTGACAGGGCTTGTCCCAACTCTTAGTTCCACTCGTGGGTTCTGGCGTTGGCAGCTGCAGACGGAGAAGCGCTCCAGGTGTGTTCCTGAGGAGCACAGTGGCATCTAGTGGTCTAGTGCACCAAGTCAATTGGTTGTATCTCTCTGACAGCCTTAATTTAGTTCCAGAAACCCAATCTCAGTCCTAAATGTCTGTTTTCATTAAAAGCAGGAATATGAGGGAGTGGGAGGCTGTGGGAGGGACAGGAGTGAGGCAAGAGGGAGACAGAAGTACAAAGAGTCTGAAAAATATATTTTTTTTTATTGAACATAATTGATTATACATATTTGTGGGGTACAGAGTTTGACTATCAATACTTGTATACAATGTGTGATGATCAGATCAGGATAATTAGGAACTTCATCATTCATTACAAATGTAATCATTCTTTGTGTCCATTAGCCAGTTTCTCGCTGATCCCTCTCCCCCTCCCCCTTTCCCATCTTTAGTAGCCACAGTACTGTTCTCTCTGAAGATGTAGTTTTCATTTTCTTTTATACTGCACTCTAACCAACTCAGCTAACCAGTCAGCCCCGAAGATGTAATTTTTAACTGTCTGCAAGCTGGGCTGGATTTGGAATTTCACTGAAATTTTATTTAAGCTGCTTTCTCTCAGGTCTTTGTCACTGCCCTACAGAAATCTCACATATTGGTTCTAAAGTATTAAAGTACTTTAAAATAGATTTTGAAAAGTCATATACTCCAGCCCCCTAAAAAGAAATAACAGTATCAAAATACCAAAGTACCAGTACTTTCTCAGTGATTCATTCATTCAGCAAATATGTATGAGTACCCACTGTGTCTTGGAGGGTTTCTAGGTATTGGGAGTACAGTGATGAACAAGACATAGAAAGCTTCTATCCTGCAATACTTGTTTTCCAAAGTGTATTCCATGGAATAATAATCCATTAGATGCTCCCGGAAAAGTTTCTAGGGTCAAATAAGTTTAGAAAGCCCTGCCTATTTTCCTTCTAGAACAGCACATAAATAATAGTTTATTAAAGACTCTGAAGTCTTGCAGTAAATAATATTGTTTAACTTATTGAGCCCATTATTATCTAAACCTATTTAACCAGCTAAGGAATTAGTATTATGTGAGTATACTTTAGGAAATGTTTTCATACATTTGTTTTGTGCTCTTTCCTATGTTTTAAGTATTTAAAAGTTACTTTTAACAAACATTTTGTTATGTGTGCTTCTGTTCTTTAAACACAGATACAATTAGTCTATTTCATATAACCAAAGGGGTATGATGTAATGTCAAGTGGTAAGTGCTATGAAAAAAATAAAGCTGAGTAACGGGGACTAAGAAAAGAAGAGATGCTATTTAGTTAGTTCCAGGAAGCCCTCTTAGAAGCAGAGACTTGAATCAAGGAAGGGAGGCAAGCCAGGTGAAGAGCATTCCAGGTGGTGGGAGCAGCGAGTACAAAGGCCTGAGAGCCTGAAATGGGAATATATTTCATGGGTTTGAGTTACAGTAAAGAGGCCATTATGCTGCAGTGCAGTGAGAACGAAGGAGAGCAGTAGAAAATGAGATTGGAGAAGTAGCCAGACCACAGTAAGGACTTTGACCCATTCAAGATACACTCCTCTTGAAAGTAAGGCTGCCTTTCTGTGTGTTGGAACTGTTGCAGGATTAAAGACCTTCATTCCAAGTTGTTCTTACCCACCATTAAAAGTGCCATCTTTGAAACAGGAATGGCAAAGGTAATCAAAATTAATATTTCCAGACACAGAACTTGTTCCTAGAGGGTGATATCAGGGCCCATATTCCCCAGGCAGCTTGGGAATGGGAATTCCAAAGGGACAGAGCCCTCCGTGGGTAGGAGGGAGAGCACCTCACAAAGGCCTCTCATGATGCTTTCCAGCTGAAGTTTGCTACAGGAAGGAACCACTGTACCCTTGCTCTGGTCTGGCTAGAGATACATGCAACAGTGATTTCATATTTCTAGACACCATCTATATTTTAAGATATGTTAGTGATGATATTTTTCCCACTCAATAGTGTTTCAGTTAACCATCATTTTATTCATTTTGATTTATGTGTGTGTGTGTTCCTAAGTTAGATTTGAATTATCCTTTCAGTGAAAGACTGCTATAATTCTCAGCAGTTGAGAGGAGGATTAAGTGGTGTCTGCTACCTGCACAGAATTGGTACGTGAAACAGCCCTTATGGGATCTACTGCTTCCATCTCCCCTGGAAGTATTAGCTCTGAATCTTCTGTTAGAGGAGATAAAAGGAAACATAGTGGATCATATTGGATTATCCTCAACTGAGCTATTGTGCTTTTTTAATATAACCTCTTCATTTAGAGGGGAATTGGGAAACTGGGGGGGAGGGTATGTGTGTAAAATCTGGCTACGACACATGCCATGCCATTGAATGTCAGGTTTGTCTTTCCTGATCTGGCTAGCTTGGGAGCTATTTCCGTTCCTTCTCCCATGAGTATATTACCTGTCCCTCCCAAAGCAGGATGATCCATTCAATAAAATGACTTTCTCTGACAGAGAAAAATCACATTCTTGAGGTGAGTTACTGAAAATGTAGTCGTCTTTTCCTTTAATTCCAGCATGAGTTTTGACTCAGAATATGGTTCTTCTAGTCTCTTGACATATTCTCTGGAGATATTGCAACCATAAAGCATTATTACATATGCCAATAAGACACTACATTTACTTACATAAGATCTAGAAATATAATAATTTTAATAGTGCTTAAATGCCTATTCACTTAAAAACGGAAAGTCTTAGGCGACTAAGAACTCTTAGTGATTTACCCTTCTTTAGAGAACAGTGAGTCACAAATATTTGAAATATGGTGATTGCTCTTTTATTTTTGAAGCACTTATTCCTTCCAATATGGTGTTCCCATATACAAAAAAAGATCAGAAAGATCATGGAAAAAAGAATTACAAGATAATAGGAATCTTCCCATGAACTTTTTTTTTTTTAAACATGACCAGTAAGGGGATCTCTTTTTTTTTTTTTTTCCTTTTTGTCTTTTTTACTGACCGGTAACGGGATCGTAACCCTCGGTGCTGCACCTGCACCACGCTCAGCCAGTGAGTGGGAACCGGTCTCCACATGGGATCCGAACCCTCAGCGGGAGCGCCGCCGCGCTCCCAAGCGGCGCACTCTCCAGTGCGCCACCGGGCCGGCCCAGTAGTAAGGGGATCTTAACCCTTGACTTGGTGTTGTCAGCACCATGCCAACTGGACATCCCTATATAGGGATCGGAATCCATGGCCTTGGTGTTACCAGCACCACACTCTTCCAAGTGAGCCACGGGCCTGCCCCCCCATGAACTCGTGGAAGACCCCTTGTGTGTGTGTGTGTGTGTGTGTATGTCTGTGTAGATACACGCTATTTTTTAGAGCAGTTTTAGGTTTACAGCAAAATTGAACAGAAAGTACAGAGATTTCCCATATACTCCCTGTTCTCCCACACATGGATATCCTCCCCTGTTATCAACACCCCACACTATAGTAATACATTTGTTACAACTGATGGACCTACACTGACACATCGTTATCTCCCAAAGTCCATATTTTACATTAGAGTTCACTGTTGGTATTGTACATTCTATGGGTTTGGACAAATTTATAATACATGTATCCACCATAATAGTAACATACAGAGTAGTTTCACTGCCCTATAAATCCTCTATGCTCTGCCCATTCTTTCCTACCTCCCCCTAAGCCCAGGTAACTACCGATCTTTCAACTGTCTCCATAGTTTTGCCTTTTCCAGAATATCATATAGTTGGCTTTTTTCATTTAGTAATATGCATTTAAGTTTCCTCTATATCATTTCATGACTTGATAGCTCATTTCTTCTTAGTGCTGAATAATATTCCATTGTCTGGGTATACTACAGTTTATTCACTTACCGTAGAACAACTTGGTTGCTTCCAAGTTTTTTTGTTTGTTTTTTTTTTTTGTCTTTTTTCGTGTCTGGCAACGGATCGCAACCCTCAGTGTTGCTCCCGCACCTCGCTCAGCCAGTGAGCGGGAACCGGTCTGTATGTGGGATCCAAACCCTCGGCGAGAGCGCCACCGCGCTCCCAAGCGGCGCACTGTAGCAGTGCGCCACCGGGCCGGCCCCTGCTTCCAAGTTTTGACAGTTATGAATAGCGCTGCTATAAACATCTATGTGCAGGTTTTCGTGTGAACATAAGTTTGCAACTCCTTTGGGTAAATACCAAGGATTGTATGGTAAGAGTATGTTTAGTTTTCTGAAAACTGCCAAACTGTCTTCCAAAGTGCCTATATTACTTTGCATTCCCACCAGCATTGAGTGAGAGTTGCTGTTGCTCCTCATCCTTACCAGCAATTGGTGTTGTCAGAGTTCTGGATTTGGGTCATTCTAATAGATGCATGGTGGTATCTCATTGTGGTTTTAATTTGCAGTTCCCTGATGACATATGACGAGGAGCACCTTTTTATATGCTTATTAGCCATCTGTGTATCTTCTTTGGCATCATTAAGGTCTTTGGCCTATTTTTTATCAGGGTGTTTGTTTTCTTACTGTTGAGTTTTTAAAGTTCTGTTTTGAATATATTTTGAGTTTATAATTAAAGCTAATTATAAGTAATTTTGTTTTGAGGCATCTTTCTGGGGTGTGCAATTCCAGGATTGAGATCATCTCCCTTTTCCCCAGCCAGGCTCCAAAACCACCTGGAGGAGCTTGTAAATGAGAAAGTCTTACTCTCCTAAATGTACAAGGAGGCTTTGCCCAGGCTTTGGGAAGTCACCCATACGTGATGGAATCCCAGCACTCAAGAGCCTCCCAGGATTATGATTTCTATCACTTTCCTCTCCTTCCCTCTCTCCATCTCGCTCTCTCATCAGTTTTTTCTGACTCTAATTCTCTGTATTTCTCTTATTCAGCTTGTGTTTAGCTTTCTCACCACAAACAAATTGTCCCTAGTACAGTTGAGATTCCAGGAAGATTGCCAGGGTGTAGCCTTCAATTCCATAAAAAGGAAAGATATTAACTAAAAACATATACATGTGCACACAGTCTCCCTCACCCGTTCATGAGCCTATTCTCTTACTAAGTTTTTCTCCTCCTTCCCAAAAACAGCTCCAACAGACACAACATTTCAGTCTTGGTCACTCTTCCTCCTCTTCCTGTCTTCTTTCTTCTCCATCGACTCTCATTTCTTGGCACATGCAGAATGTCTTTTCCAGCCTGTAGCAGATCACATCAATGCACTACCTGTGTCCAAAGGCCACATGGCTTCCTCTGTGCTCCCCGTTCCTCTCCTTGCAAGCCTGGGTGATTAATTAGAGGCACATAGGTTACAGTGTTGGGCAGTTACTCCTAATGACGACACACAGGAAGGCTTAGCAAGGCCCAAATATGGCCCTTTTTACTCACCCTTCCAAAAACCAAACATCTTGCACAAGAGTACATTTATAAGCTGCATCTTGTGCCTGTAAGCCTACTGAATGATACCAGCTCAGTAGTGCTGACTGCTTTGTCTCTCTTTCTTCCAGCTCCTCTACAAGTGACCTCTCCAACTATGACCATGCTTATCTGAGGCGGAGCCCTGACCACTGCAGCTCCCAGGGAAGCATGGAGAGCCTGGAGCCCAGTGGGGGATACCCATCCTGCCATCTTCTTTCTCCTGCCAAGTCCACCAGCAGCATTGACCAGCTCAGCCACTTCCATAACAAGAGAGACTCAGCTTATAGCTCTTTCTCCACCAGTTCTAGCATCCTAGAGTATCCACCCCCTGGCATCTCTAGCCGGGAGCATTCAGGCTCCATGGACACTACTTCTGCTCGAGGTGGCCTCCTAGAAGGGATGAGGCAGGCAGACATTCGCTATGTCAAGACAGTCTATGATACCCGGAGGGGAGTTTCAGCAGAGTATGAGGTGAACTCTTCAGCCCTGCTTCTTCAAGGTAGGGAGGCCCGAGCATCAGCAGATGGTCAAGGCTATGACAAATGGTATAATGTTGCTCGGGGCAAGGGAGCGCCACCCCCATTCTGGAGCCAGCAGTGCCCCAGTTCCTTGGAGACTGCCACTGACAGCCTGCCTCCTAAGGCCAGTGCACCCCTGCCTCCAGCTCGCAGTGACAGTTACGCAGCTTTTCGGCACTGTGAGCGGCCCAGCTCCTGGTCTATCCTTGATCAGAAACGGTTCTGCCGGCCTCAGGTGAACTCCTCAGGCTCCCTGAAATCTTCATTCAAAGAGGAGCAGCTGCATACAGTACTAGAGAAGAGTCCAGAGAACAGCCCCCCAGTGAAGCCCAAGCATAATTATACCCAGAAGGCACAACCTGGCCAACCTCTGCTGCCGACTGGCATCTACCCTGTACCTTCCGTGGAACCACACTTCGCCCAGGTGCCCCAGTCTTCCGTGAGCAGTAACAGTACACTCTACCCTGCACTGGCCAAGGAGAGTGGATACACAGCCCCTCGGGGAGCTTGCAACAAGATGGCTACCTCTGATGAGAATGGGAACCTAAATGGATCTAGCAGGCCTGGGTTTGCCTTCTACCAGCCCCCAGAACATGACTCACTGTCCCCAGGGGAGAGGAAACCAGAAACTACAGCCAAGTGTGTCCCCTACAAAGTCCATTTTTCTTCAGTGCCTGAAAACGAAGAGGATACCTCCCTAAGGAGACATCTCACACCTTCCCAAGGCAACAGCCCACATCCCAGTGAGAGAAAGAGCACCCACAACAGCAATCCATGTTCTAATCACCACAGCCTCCAGTACCCTCAAGCTCAGGTCTGGCACGTGGGTGAAGACAAGCCCTCAGAGCCCTGGGAGGATGTTTTCCAGGAAGACCATAATGCCAACCTCCAGCGGAGGATGGAGAGAGAAGGACTAACCCAGGGCGTGTCAAGCAACTTTGGCAAGACCAAGTCAGCTTTCTCATCTCTCCAGAACATTCCCGAGAGCCTAAGAAGACAAGGCAGCCTGGAGCTGAGAGCCCAGGAGGGTTACCTGGGTGGCAGGCCCACCTGTCCAGTCAACACCAAGATGGAGGACCCTGGAAGGAAAGCCGTGCCTGACCACAGGAGCCATCCGGACAGGCCAGTTTCCTATCCAAGACCAAATGGCAGAAGCCATGCCTCCACTGCTATCCACAGTTCAGACCTAGGATATGAAGAGCCGCCCACCCCGCTGCACCAGCAGACATCCAGTCTGGGCCGGAGGAGGCTCAGCTCAGGCAGCACCTCGGCTTTGCAAGGCTTCCAGTACGGGAAGCTCCAGTGCTCGGTGCTGGAGAAGGTTTCGAAGATCGAGCAGCGAGAGCAAGGGATCCAGAGACCGCCGAGTGTGGGCAGCTTCGGCTGTGGCCATAACTACAGGCCCAACAGGATGGTCCCAACTTCCAACGTTTCTGGGAATGACTTGGAGGAGACAAAAGCCAATATCCGTTTCTCCGAGTCTGTTGAACCCCTAGGCAATGGGGAGCAGCACTTCAAAAACGGGGAGCCAACGGTGGAAGAGGTTTCCTGGCAGCCACCTGGTCAGCAGCTCAGGAGGGGTGTCAACGACGGCCGTGGCCCCCCACTCCGAGGCAGTGAGCCCCCGAGGCCGGACGCTCGCCTCTTCCGCAGCCAGAGCACCTTCCAGCTCTTCAGCGAGGCCGAGAAGGAGGCCGCGTGGCCGGAGGACAGGCCCGGCACGCCCGAGTCGCCCCTACTGGATGCCCCGTTTAGCCGCGCCTACCGGAACAGCATCAAGGACGCGCAGTCCCGCGTCCTGGGGGCCACCTCCTTTCGACGCAGGGACCTGGAGCCGGGCGCACCCATGGCTTCGAGGCCCTGGCGGCCGCGGCCCTCCTCAGCCCACGTGGCGCTAACGAGCCCCGAGGTGCCGGCGCAGGCCTCCGCCTCCCCCCACACGCCTCGGGAGCGACACAGCGTG